CTGCTCTATGCTGTGACCGCTATCGCTATGCTGTGACCGCTATCACTATGCTGTGACCGTTTATGCGCTAACCATTTTTTTCTATGCTGTGACCGCTAACGCTAACGCTATGACCGCTATCACTGACGCTATGACCGCTATCACTGACGCTATGACCGCTATCACTGACGCTATGACCGCTATCACTGACGCTATGACCGCTATCACTGACGCTATGACCGCTATCACTATATGCTATGACCGCTATCGCTATATGCTGGGACCGTTATATGCGGTTATCTTTGAGCGCCGGGACGTGAGCGCTCGCATCACGATCAACCAGACGCTGCAGCAGGGTTATCTTTGCGCGCTGGGAACGTGAGCGCTTGCATCACGTTCCGTCAGACGCTGCGGCAGCGGAGAGTGTTTGAGAAAAGTGCGTGCCGCCACCAGAACTTATTGCTTCACTTACTTTGCTTCGTATTGCTTTGCTGGGAGCTTACGAGGAAGCCAGTAGACGTTGTGCAGCCAGGATAGCGGACGCGTCTGGCCTGATATAGGCGGAGAAAGCCGAAGAGGACCGGCGCCCCAGCTGTTGCAGAGAGGTGTGGGGGAGCCCCAGCGAGGCCGCGCGCGTGGCAGCGCCTATCCTGAAGGAGTGAGCTGTGTAGAGCTGGGGAGACAATTGCAGAGGAGCAGTAGGGATCTTGAAGAACCCCCCCAAAACCCACGGAAGGGGCACGTTCGTGTAGAAGCGGAGACCTGTAGGGGCAGAGACATATCGGAGAGGGCCATTGATGTTGCAGGCGCCCTTACGCTTAGAATCTTGGGTTGGAGAGTAGATAATCAGGATAGTAGGATGGTCGGGAAAGCCGTGTCTCGGACCGCATGAAGGTTGAGTGAGCAATGGTGAAACGCTTACGCAGAGAAGCCATAGAAGGAGAGCGGGAAGATGCTGCGAGGAGGGCAGACATGTACTTGGAAGATGAGCCGGAGTTCAGTGCCGCTGCAGGATGGGCAGCATGATGGGGAGCCTGCGATCAGAAGAGTGAAGAATACAGGTATGGATGCCTTTGATTAAGAGTCCGATTGACGGCTCAGCGCAGCTACTCGGCCAGCTGCATCTGATAGAATCGGAAGATTAGTAGAGAGATGAAGCATGACCGCCGAAGCGACCCTGGGAGCATAGGTGCGAGTCCAGCGCAGCGCGGCATACTCAGCCGGGCTGCATCCATTAGAAGCAGGATAAGCTTCTGAGAGAGTGGGTTGCAGCAGTAGCAGTAGCAGCAGCGGCAGCAGCAGTAACCTCAGGTAATAGCAGCAATAATCCTGTATCAAGCCGCGGCAGCAGCAGCAGCAGCAGCAGCAGCAGCAGCAGCAGCGTCCTTAGAAAATAACAGTAATAATCCTGTATCAAAGCCGCAGCAGTAGAATGTTGTTGTAGCTGTTTAGTGTTTCAGAAAAAGAGATGCAAGTGAAGAGAGATGGCAAAGTAAATGGAGCAGCAGCAGCAGTAGTAGCAGCAGTAGCAGTATGAAGCAGCAGCAGCAGCAGCAGCAGCAGCAGCATCCGTAGATAATAACAGCAATGATCCTGTATCAAAGCCACAGTAGTAGAATATTGTTGTAGCTGTTTAGTGTTTCAGTAAAAGAGATGCGAAGTGAAGAGAGATGTCAAAGTACATGAAGCAGCAGCAGCACGGCAGCAGTAGCAGCAGCAGTAACGGTAGCAGTATGAAGCAGCATTAGCGGCAGCAGTAGCAGCAGTAGCGGTAGCAGTATGAAGCAGCAGCGGCAGCAGTAGCAGCAGTAGCGGTAGCAGTATGAAGCAGCAGAGCAGCATTAGCAGGAGCAGCAGCACCACAATGAGATTCATACGAACAACAGACATGTCACGCCAGTGTGCGCCGCTTGTCTCCGTGAGCCAGGTTACATACGTGTCGGAAAGAGCCGAGCCGTAGAGACGGGTGCAGCCTAGGAGCCTGCGGAGCGGCAGCGGCAGGAACAGCAGCAGCGGCACATGTAGTAGGAGCAGCAGGAGCAGGCAACGGGGACAGACAGCAGCAGGAGCGGCAGCAGGAACAGGCAGCAGCGGGATCAGGCATCAGTAGAAACGGCAGCAGGGACCGGCAGCGGCGGCGGTCAGAGAACCATGCCCACGGTTGTTTAACAGCCTGAGGAAATAAATCAACCCGAATCCGAAACATTCCCATGCGAATAACAGATGTCCCCTGGAGCCATCTGCTGCTTTGGTTATGGCAGAGACGCATGAACGATCACTGTTCCACGCGTTCATTAGCTCCAACACAACTTCACACCCATTGCAGCTTCACATTGGGCCCTTTTTCTTTCTGCTGCACTTTCAAATGCAACAACTGCAGTTTAGTTTCCTAATTGAATACTAGTGACCTAGCTATTTAAATGCATGGCCCCTCCTTCCTCCCGCAGATAGACGAATTTAATACAATCATTTAACAATAGTGACCTGCGAGTAATGAGATTAATGCTGTAAAGATGGCGCCGTGGCAAGAGCTCTGGTGTGTGCCGTCTGGAGCACAATGGGGTAGTCTTGCAGATTTTTCCGACGTGGTTTTACTGCGAGTGGCAGAACATGAATCTGAATTAATGCACATTGCGCCTCTTGTATCCCCGGACGATAGAGATTGATGCCATTTAATATGCATTGCCCCTCAGTTAGCTCAAACACGTGTGAAAACGAAGCCTGCAGACCAAGCACGGGGCGAAAACTTTGTTTTATTTTTTTAATTTATTTATTTAATATGGACATAGCAATTAACATTGGACGAACCAGATGCATTGTTTAAAGTGTTATAGCACAAGTGCTAATTTTCAACACCTGTCCATAGGGGGCTTTTAGGTTACAAAGATAAAACACATTAGGAAACAAGGTTGCAATAAAACACATTATTAAACAAGATAAGACATGTTTTAAACATGGGAACAAGTTTGGCCCGATTTGAGCCACTGTTTAAGCTCTCTGGTAAAGATGTTGATATTATTCTGCAGTTTCAGTGCAGTGGGGAGAGAGTTCCACAGTGTAGCCCCTCTAAAGGAGAAGCTCGACTGTCCAAAAGATTTTCTAAACTTTGGGAGCACACAATCCCCGCTAACTGAGACTCTGGTGGAAGGTCTGAGAGAGCTCTGACACCTCACCATGAGGCCAGAGAACAGTGGTGACACACAGTTGTTCAAACATTTAAAAGTCAATTTCATTATACTAAAATTTACAAAGTTTTCAAAAGTAAAAAGCTTGTGCTTTTGTATGATATCACAATGATGCCATCTCAAAGGTTTCTTGTCGAATATCTTAATTGCCTGTTTATACAGAGAGGTGACTGGTTTCAGAGTGGATGCCGATGTTTGTGACCATGCTGTAATGCAGTATGACAGATGTGAAAAAACCATTGCATGCATATACAATAAAGCCGCGTGATGTGATAACTCTCTTCTTATAAAACGAAAACAGTTCAGATTTGATTTGACTTTCCTGCAGACGTTATTTGCTTGACTTTGGAACTTCAGGTGTTTATCTAAGATAATGCCCAAGTATTTTGTTTCATGAACCTCCTGAATGGGTTCATGTTCTAATTGAACCTCAAACTGACGCCTGCAGTCAAGTGCGCGGGGCAAAAACCAAGCCTGCAGCCCAGACTCCGGGATTAATCCGTCCGCGGTCAACACACACACATGCCAGGAGACTTGGGAAAAGCAACGGGACAACGCGGCACCGCCAACGGAGGCAGGGACACGCACGGCACCGGGCCAGACCGTCTGCGCGCGGCAGCAGACCACGAGGAACGAGCAGCACGGAAGAAAGTAGTGTTGCCAACTTAGCGACTTTGTCGCTAGATTTAGCGACTTTTCAGACCCCTATAGCGACTTTTTTTCAAAAAAGCGACTAGCGACAAATCTAGCGACTTTTTCTGGTGTTATTGGCGACTTATCTGGTGTTTTGGCGACTTATCTGGTGTTTTGGAGACTCGTGAAGCACGTATTGTTCTGCTGTCCTCAACGTGAGCCCCTCCCCCGTCCCAAAGCACTACAGGCGGCCAGTCTCACAGTAGCCTTGCGCAGCAGTCCCAGCTACAGTCTATGGGCGGAGCAGAGAGAGAGAGAGGAGACTCAAAAGCACAGGAAGTTTTCAGGCTGCTGCAGACTGAACTTCAGCTCCACCACCACCACACATCCAAAGCTCCCCGGCCACTCCTACCACCGCCACCCCCCACTACCCCCCACTACCCCCCACTCCATCCGCGGCAGCTCTGTCCGTGACTCTGTTTTCTCTCAGTAGTGGGTCACATTAAATCATTTGTTATGCCAAACTATGAAAAAAAAAAAAAACTTACAAAAATAAACCTAAGTAACTCTGCCAGAGTGTGTCTTTTGGGTCACTTTGCCGGTCCCAAGCCCGGATAAAGGAGGAGGGTTGGTTGTAGAGCTAGCAATTTCACCCTACATAACAATCTTTTGATTACATTTGCTGTTATAACATTTAACTCTTTCAGTGCCAATGACGCATATTACGTCAATTCTAGATCTATGCTTGTGTGCCATTGACGCATTTTATGCAATTGACGTGTTTTGGTGTATTCAGATCCAGACGCATCCATCACTTTGCCGGTCCCAAGCCCGGATAAAGGAGGAGGGTTGGTTGTAGAGCTAGCAATTTCACCCTACATAACAATCTTTTGATTACATTTGCTGTTATAACATTTAACTCTTTCAGTGCCAATGACGCATATTACGTCAATTCTAGATCTATGCTTGTGTGCCATTGACGCATTTTATGCAATTGACGTGTTTTGGTGTATTCAGATCCAGACGCATCCATTCTATCATATATCTCTGATCGGGACTGTTTGACAGTATTTTATTCGGCCAGCAGATGTCAGTAGCGTCCTTTAGCTCTTCGATCAGGCATAAAAGGAACCGGATGCCCAGATCTCATTGTGGGAGTAGGTTGGTTAGAGTGAGCACACGAGAGTAATCGGGAGAGCGAACATGAGCAGAAAGCGGCAGCTAACGATGGAGGAGGCGTTTGGTGCTGGTGGTACCATCAGAAGGTCGGTGGGTGATGGCCATGATGAAGGTGGAGGTGATCTGCCTCGGCCTTCAGTTGGCAAAAAGCCTGAGGCTACGGCTAAAGCTACTGCTAAGCATCTGGCCGTTGGCGGGAGTCCTTGCCGCGCACGTCGCTCCAGAGCCGCCGCGCGCAGTTCCAGTGGTCCACGTCGGTCCAGAGAAAGTTCCTCGTCGGATACAGGCTCTTCAGAGCTATGGGAACCTGAAGCTGACCCAAACAGCAGTGACTCATCCCCCGATTCCCCCAGAGCAACCGGCAGAGCAGGTAAGGCATACATTATACATATGTATTTAGCAATGAAATAAAAGTATTCTTGTATAATTCTCATGATTGTATTTGTGTGTATTTCTAGTAAGCAGAGTGCTGGCCCAATCCAGGAGTACTAATGCTGGTAAAAGGAGGCCTACAGGTAAATAAAATACTCATATATGTATGTATATATGCATGTGTGTCTATATGTATGTGTATAATATGTATGTATGTGTAGTGTGTGTGTACGTGTGTCTCTGTGCATGTGTGTCTGTGTGGTTTGGATATGTGCGTCTGTAGATGTATATGTATTTGGATATGTGTGTATATGGATAGATGAGTTATTGTACAATTCTATACAGGCGCTACATTGAGCAGAGGCGCTGCCAGCGTGAGTCCTGCAAATACAGGTGTGAAGAAAAGAGGTAGGAATATCTTTCTCTACATCACATCAAAACAATAAAACGAGCTCTATTTGATTCCTATTTATTGTATACATTTCCATTATTTATTACAGTTGCAAAGGGTAAAGGCGGCACCTGGCGGAAATCCGGATGGAAACCCACTGTGTTCCCCTTCACTGCAACGCCTGGTCCCCTGAACGCGGCAGCAGAGCTGGAGTCCACCTCGCCTGCTGACTTCCTGGAGCTGTTCCTCACGGACGAGCTGCTCCAGCACATCACAGAGCAGACCAACCTCTATGCTCAGCAGCATTTCCTGGCAAACCCAGAGATTCCGCAACACAGCAGAAAGCATGCATGGAGACCAGTGACCATTCCAGAGCTAAAAAAGTTCTTTGCGTTATCTTTCCTCACCGGTGTTATCCACAAGCCAACCCTGGCAATGTATTGGAACGTGGATGAGATGTTTGTGACCCCGTTCTTCACTAAAATAATGTCCAGGAACCGGTTCCAACTCATATGGAGGTTCCTCCATTACAATGACAACTCTGCAATTGATGTAACTGACAGGTTATACAAGGTTCGCCCCGTCTACGACTACCTGATCAATAAATTCAAGGTAATGTTCCAACCCGGGCAGAATATTTGCATAGATGAGGGGATGTTGCTCTGGAGAGGACGGCTGGCCTTCAAGGTCTACAACCCACAGAAGCCCATAAAGTATGGAATAAAGTCCTATGTGCTCTGCGACTCTGCCACCGGCTACTGCTTTAACCTGCAGCCCTATGTTGGTGAGCCTCGCACGATCCCTGACATTGTTTTTTCTCTGCTTGACCGTCTCCCAGGTGCCGGCCACACTCTGTTTATGGACAATTATTACAATTCTGCGGCATTGTCTGAGCAGTTGATGGCAGTAAAAACAAATGTGTGTGGGACGCTAAGGAAGAACCGGGGAGAGCCTGAGAGCATTAGGGACGTGACCAAGACTGAGCTGAGTGTGGGGGGGAGAGTCGCGGTGAACAATGGGAAGGTCATGGTTGTGGCGTGGCGGGACAAACGGATTGTCAAGATGTTGACAACATGTCACCATGACAATATGACTAGTGTCGACGTTTGGCAGCGAGGACAGAGGGAGAAGGTGTCTGTCCTAAAACCGGAGTGTGTCGATGCCTATAACTCCTCCATGAATGGTGTGGATCGATTGGATCAGAACATTAAATACTACCCGTTCGTCCGGAAGTCTCTGAACTGGACCAAAAAATTTGTCGCTTACCTGTTCCAAATCGCAATGTACAATGCCTACACTCTCTACAGAGCCAGGAACGGGAACCGGGAATACAAAACCCTCTTGGAATTTATGCAGGGGGTCATGAGGTCCTGGACATTGAAGGTCCAGGATGAGGACGAGGAGGACATCGAGGACGAGGAGGACATCGAGGACATCGAGGACAAGGAGGACGAGGAGGACCACAACGAGGAGAACGAGTCGATCGTTGCATGTGTGGAGGAAGGAGCACCACGAAACCCCAGGGCTCCATATAACACTGATCCAGAGAGCAGGCTCGATGAGGGTGCCAGGCACAAGGTGGAGTACCTGCTGTCCTCCGGCTCGAAGACCAGACCCTCGAGGAGATGCAGGGTCTGCATGCGCAAAGGCCTGCGCAGTGAGACCAGGATGTGGTGCAAGGCATGTGGTGTCCCCTTACACAAAGGAGAGTGCTTCACAAAATATCACACACAACAAGATTACACTATATAGACAGAGACACACGCACGCACACACGCACGCACACACGCACACTCTCAGCCAATCAGCACTTTATGTATATAGTTATTTGTTTGTAATTTACTGTATGTTTGTACATTTCTTATTCTGTGTTCTGAGTATTATTCTGTGTTCTGAGTATTATTTTGCTATCAAAAGCACTTTATTTTGAGTCATTTCCCTTATTTTATATATGGGAAGAATGTTCTGTTGTGTGAGAAATGACTAAAGTAAAAAAAAACTTTTCAAAGTCACTTTTCTGCATTGTTTGCTTATTTTCACAAACACCTAATTTTCTCAGCTTTATGTCGGAAACTGATGATTTCTGTGAAAAGTTTACCTTACTCCAATGGTGATTACAGAAGAACTAAAGCCGATAGAAACACACTTATTTTTTCTGAGTAAACTAGAGGGTCCAATCTTTCAGAATATGGTCTCAGATTTAAGCTAGTCATAGCAGAACATATTCTATGGGTCTTTAAAAGTCGGTGAAAATCAGCAAAACGGCTGGCACTGGAGGAGTGATGTTCTGAAAATGTCTGGCACTGAAAGAGTTAACAATACAGGACAAAACTGATGTGTGTAATGTGGATCTAGACAAAGCATTAAAATCATTAAATGTTGTTAATGTTGAAATTATTTTTGTACATTTGTAGTTCTAAACATATTTAGGGTGTTTTTACTCACTTTTGTCTCTCCCACGACCTTATTCCTCTCTCCTACAGCGTCCGTTACAGTTATTTGCAAATGGCAAATTATGCAAATTAGGCGATGACGTCATTTAGCGACTTCTAGCGACTTTTGGGACAGCCAATAGCTACTTTCCTTACTGAGGAGTTGGCAACACTGGAAGAAAGAGCCCGCAGAGGAGGAGAGCAGTGGAGACACGCGAACCACAGCAGGTGCAGGGACGCGGAGGAGGAGCAGACCACAACGCAGCAAGACGGAGGACGCCCGGGACACGCACGAGTAGCGTGAGTAGACGGAAACGATTCCTCCAGACGATTCTTTGCAGGCTTCGAGGGCTTGCGAGGCTTCGAGAAGGCCGAGAGTGGGAGTTTCTCCGCTTTTAAGCGGCTGCCTGTCCGGCACGGATGATTGGAAGGGGGCGTTTGCTGTGCGATAGGCTGGGGAAGCGAACCGGCCTGGAGGGGGTAGCTTTTGGCTGACGTCTACCAAATTGAATTTCCGCGAGCTGCATATGTACCTGTGTCTCTGCGTCTATATGTACCTGTGTCTCTATATGTACCTGTGTCTCTATATGTACCTGTGTCTCTGCGTTTCTATATGTACCTGTGTCTCTGCGTCTATATGTACCTGTGTCTCTATATGTACCTGTGTCTCTGCGTTTCTATATGTACCTGTGTCTCTGCGTCTATATGTACCTGTGTCTCTATATGTACCTGTGTCTCTATATGTACCTGTGTCTATATGTACCTGTGTCTCTATATGTACCTGTGTCTCTATATGTACCTGTGTCTATATGTACCTGTGTCTCTGTGTCTCTATATGTACCTGTGTCTATATGTACCTGTGTCTCTGTGTCTCTATATGTACCTGTGTCTATATGTACCTGTGTCTCTGTGTTTCTATATGTACCTGTGTCTCTGTGTTTCTATATGTACCTGTGTCTCTGCGTCTATATGTACCTGTGTCTCTGCGTCTATATGTACCTGTGTCTCTGCGTCTATATGTACCTGTGTCTCTATATGTACCTGTGTCTCTGTGTCTCTATATGTACCTGTGTCTCTATATGTACCTGTGTCTCTGTGTCTCTATATGTACCTGTGTCTCTATATGTACCTGTGTCTCTATATGTACCTGTGTCTCTGTGTCTCTATATGTACCTGTGTCTCTATATGTACCTGTGTGTCTATACCTCATCTGGCTCCTCGATGTGGAGAAGCAGCGGCTCTACCCCGAGCTCCTCCCGTGCTCCCATCTCTTTCCTTCCTTCATTCATTTCCATTTTCCTTTGAATCTGACCATTCAAAGCCACAGAGTAGAACCTGACCGCACTGGCAGCTAATTTATCTGTGTAGCGCACCTTAAAGAACCTCTGCTGCACTTTTAACAATAGCAGGACAAAAAACTGTGTGTTTTTATCTCCATAAAGTTTTGCGGTGCTTTTGAAAAGTAGATCAATGTTTCTGCCGTGATGAAAGAACCGAAGGAAAACCCACCTCCAAATCTGTGCCGTGATTATTTGCATTGAAAATCCCAGATCAAGCAAAACTATCAAAGTGCTGCTGTTTCAAGTGCTACAAAGTGCTCACGTCCTCCGTCCTTTCATTACCTCTGACATTCCAACTTTTCTCCTCTCGCTTCGGAAAATTGCGACGTGTCAAAGAGTGGAATGACTTATCGAGCAGGTGAGCGGCTCGCGGCCCATTCACGTGATATCGACAGGTTTTTACTCCGAGCCTTTAAAGTGGACGAAGTGCCGCAGAGCCGTCAGGAGGACGAAGGGAGGCGACCAATCAGTGATCAATTATGACAAAACATCTGACGTGGCTCTTATGCTAACTCAGGCTAAGTGCTAACTCAGGCTAAGTGCTAACTCAGGCTAAGTGCTAACTCAGGCTAAGTGCTAACGGTACAGACCACAGCCCAGGATTTCAGTTTATTCAAAAGAGATGATTCAAACTGCTCCTTTTTGAGCCTTTATAAGTCTTTTTAACCTACACCCGTGGACTGAGTGAGAGCTGACGTCACTGAAGTGTTGTAAAAAGCAGAAGAAGCCAATTCTAAGTAAGAAAGAGCCAATATCCTTATATGGGCATTTGTTCTGACGGGGCTTTACACCATAACAGGGACATTCAGTTCAACTGATCTTTGTATAATCTGTCTAATGTGGACCGAGTCTAGTGTGGACCGAGTCTAGTGTGGACCGAGTCTAGTGTGGACCGAGTCTAGTGTGGACCGAGTCTAGTGTGGACCGAGTCTAGTGTGGACCGAGTCTAGTGTGGACCGAGTCTAGTGTGGACCGAGTCTAATGTGGACCGAGTCTAATGTGGACCGAGTCTAAAGTGGACCGAGTCTAAAGTGGACCGAGTCTAGTGTGGACCGAGTCTAGTGTGGACCGAGTCTAGTGTGGACCGAGTCTAGTGTGGACCGAGTCTAATGTGGACCGAGTCTAATGTGGACCGAGTCTAATGTGGACTGAGTCTGAGTCTAATGTGGACTGAGTCCAGTGTTGACTGAGTCTAATGTGGACTGAGTCTAGTGTGGACTGAGTCTAATGTGGACTGAGTCTAGTGTGGACTGAGTCTAATGTGGACTGAGTCTAGTGTGGACTGAGTCTAATGTGGACTGAGTCTAGTGTGGACTGAGTCTAATGTGGACTGAGTCTAGTGTGGACTGAGTCTAGTGTGGACTGAGTCTAGTGTGGACTGAGTCTAGTGTGGACTGAGTCTAATGTGGACTGAGTCTAGTGTGGACTGAGTCTAGTGTGGACTGAGTCTAGTGTGGACTGAGTCTAGTG